CTTCTTCTCCTTTTGCCTCCTCTTTACACTCAAGCCTCACCATTCCTCTCACAATGACTCTCCTTTGCCTCCACTCTCTTTGCACAGGCACTCCTCATCCCACCTCTTTGACAGGCAGAGACTGCCCCCTGCCTTACTATATACTCTCCCTTGATTAACGCCTCCACCCAACTACTTTTAGCCCTCAGTCCTAATCTCCTTTTGCTGGATCTGCATTCGATCCACCGAAAAGGGATGGACTGCACACCCTGCCACCTTAGTAAACTGGACCACCACATGGGGATCTCTGCATCAAAGCACAGTTCGCCTAGGCACTATGTTCTTCACCCAGCGCTCACACAGCAATAATGCCAAATCCACTTCCCAGGCTTTATTTGACTTAAAACTCCAACTTTCCCTATTGGGAAATCATCAGCATTCCACCCTTCAAAAGCACCTCCTCCTGTTATGGGCTCCATCACTCAGGCCAAGTCTATGGGACAGCCCCTTTATGTACACAAAGACCCCACTTTCCGGATTCTCAGCCCATAGGCTCCCTTAATACCTCCTGGTGAGCACAAAACCTTCTTCTCCCACCTCCCACCATTGGCAATTCAAACTCTTTAACTGAAGGGGCAGCAGGTACAGGCACCTCAAAGTGGCCTACTACCCGAACCCCAACTTACCCATCTCATCACACCACCATTCTCCCCTTCACCACAGTCACTTCAGACTTTTGTAATGGGAGACTTCACCCTAGTGCCATTCTACTTTTCAACATACTGGAACTCTACTCAAACCCCTTCTCCAAGAGGAACTGCAAACTACTATTCACACCTCACTCCTGGCTCGTTCTCTACCTGCCAACACAACTCATTACGGAATCTCCCTCGCCGACCAATGCCTCTTCCCCTGTCTTACAACCCCTTCTAATGGCCTCCCTCTCAGTCTCTTTCCACTCATATGAGAGAGAGCAGAATGCAGATCGAATAGAACCCCTCCTCTCCTTTGAATTAATGGGGTGCCTTTCCCCCTCCACAGGAATCTTCTTCCTATGTGGGTCACAGATATATACATTTGCCTACTAACTGGATAGGAGTTTGTACACTTGCCTTCTTAATCCTCCCCCAGTCTTATACACCACCGTCTCAGAAATCATCCTTATCCCCATTGTTAACTTCATATATACAAAAAGGGATGTTGGTCTCACCCACTTGGTGGTGGGACTAGGCCTTCTCACCAGAATTGGGACGGGTTTGGCCAGACTAGGAGTGCCAATCAGCCAATTCCAAAAATTGTCAGAGGCTCTGAAGGAACTCCTTAATGATACTGCTTTACAAATCTCTACAATCCAGAACTAGAATGACTCCCTAGCTGCAGTGATTTTATAAAACAGGAGAGGACTAGATCTCCTCACAGTTCCAAAAGGCAGTTTATAGTTTTTTCTAGAGGAAGATTTTTTCACCAACAACTGTGGCATAGTCAGGGATGGGGTAAAGAGACTCAAGGAAAGGGCATAGCAGATGACATCCACACAACCTACTAATATTCTTTCCTCATTATATCCATGGCTCATCCCTTTGGTGATTCCTTTCATCCTTGTTTGTCTGGCCCTAATGTTCCTACTGAGCCTTATTAATATTTTTCAAAAATTTTTACAGGAACTCATTGCCACCATCTCCCAGGCTACCTTAGGAGAATAACTCAAGGCCATCATGCTTCTACAAACACTCCAGGCTTGGTGACACCCCCTCCCCACAATGTTGCTCCCCAGCCACCCAGAAGTAGCCAGAAAACAAATGGCGCGCCCCCATGCCCTATATAGCAAAGAGCCTAAAATGTTGGAATGCCAAAAAACACTGAAAACAATGCAAATATGGCTATCCCATATGAATGAGTGAGAGAAAACAACACGCAAAACTGCCCAGCCCCAATGCCCTTCCCACCAATATCTACCCCCTCCTCCTATCCTTCCTTCCAGCCATGCTACCTAATGCCCACCCCTTCCAACCTCCCCCTTTCCCACCACACAATACTTAAAAACCCCAGCCTGTAAGAAAAACGTGCTCTCGTCTCTCTCAGAGCACTACTCTGATGGCCAAGGGTCCCTCTCAGGTCTTTCTTCCCAAATAAAGGCCTGCTGCTTCTGAGGGTCACAGCTTCTTTCCCAGGCTGTCTCTCCTTTTCATCCTTTCCTGAAGTACCTCAGTTTTCCCTCATTTTTCCTTTCAGAGCCAAGTTCATAGACGTTCTAAATCATTTCCAAGTGGCTATGCAACTTCTGAGACCCTGAACTTTTGCAGGCCAAAAAGCAGATCTGAATGAGGGCACAAAGAGGAACCCCTTAAAGTTGCCTATAATTTGCCTATAATTAGCCTATAATTCTAAAACAGAAGCCCACCTCAGTACTGTCAGACCAACAGTGAATTCAAGATCTAGTATGTAATTTTCCTTAGTTCCCAGACATCTGTAACAAATAAGGAGTGGACTTCCGAGTGTGCCCCCACACTGGATTTCCCATAGCTATTCTCCCTCTGTCTACCAGAGTATCCTATTAGCCAATTTCAGGCTCCAGATGCTTTCTGCCAGGAAACAGTCAGCTGGGTAAAGCATGTCAACTCCTTGGTCTTTCTATCTTTGCATTGTATCATTATAAAAACTATAAAAATTATTCTTACTCCTCAACCTCCTACAATATGATTCTCTCACCATTTTCCTTCTCCAGCATTTCAGTGAAATCTTCCTTTCCACAAGCAATGCACTTTTCACTCTTCATTTTACTAAACATCTCTGAAGCAGCTGATCACCCCATATTTCCTTAAACTCTTCTCCCTTGGCCTTTGGGATAATTAAACTCATTTAAATCTCCTCTATCTCAGTCCCTGCTCAATCTTTGCAGGCAACTCATTACTAATATTTTTTTTCTTCCCTTTCCTTCCCTTAAATGTTGGAACCCTTGAAACTTTCTTTAACTGTCTGAGTGACCCCATTGCACACATGGCTCCAGAGATGACCTGTGTGCTAAGGATTTTGAAATCAGTCTATAGATATAGCTCCTTGGAGCTCTAAGCTGCATGTCCAGTGACATCTAGCATCCCCACGTATGCCACACTTAATGTGGTTCAGGGGTTGAAAGTACAGGGCCAAAAGGACATGACAGCACTTATGTGGTATTCCTGTCAAAATGCATGGCCTGAATATAATCATGAGGAAACAGACAAACCCAAATTAAAGGACACTGTACAAAATAATAAGCTTATTTTTCATCCCCCTCCAACTCACTCTGGTACTGGGGATTGAACCCACTCTACCTCTTGAGATACACCCCCAGTTCTTTTGTTTTTTTTATTTTGTTTTAGGGATACAGTCTCACTAACTTTACTGGAAGTAGCCTCAAAACTCACAATCTTCCTGAATCCACCTTCTGAGTAGCTGGGATTACAGGCATGTATCATCATGTCCAGTAAACTTGTGTTCTTTTTTAAATGTCAGTTCCACCAAAGACAAATAAAGGTTGAGTTCTAGATTAAAGCAGACTAAGAAAAGAGAACAACTAAATTCAATGTGTATCCTGGATGGGGGTGAGGAGGAGTGCTATTAGAATTGGGAACAGTAGCAGGATAATCACTTGAATTTGAAGGCAAACTATGTATTATATAATAATATTGTGTCAATATTAGATTTTCTGAAATTGGTAAGCACCCTGAAGTTGTTAAGAGAATGCCCTTGTTCTTAGATCACACTTAAATATTCAGAAATGAAGGAAATGGACTTTGTTGTGACTTAATCCCAAATAGGTCAGCAAAGACAAAAGCAAAAAGAAAAAAAAAACCAGAAAATTCTAGGTGAAGGGAGTTCTTTGTAATGTTCTTATAACTTTTCTATAGATCTGATTTATTTTTTCATAATAAAATTTAAGAAAGGGAGGGGGAGGGGGAGAGAGAGAGAGAAAGTGTTAATTTAGCTCCATCGCCCTTATAGCCTTGGGAAATTACTCAGTGTTCCCAGCTATAAAGCAGGATTGATGATAGTACCTATATTACAAGGTTTTGTGAGGATTAAATAAATTGACACATGTAAAAGGCTTGGAACACTGCCCAGTACACAGTAAATATTCAATGAGTTACCAGTATTATTATGTTCTAAAATTGAACTTACTTCCTCTCTAACTTTGACTAACTCATATTCTTGACCATGGATTATAGCATAATAATCTATTTGGCCTTCTAAACTAGAAACTTCGTAATATCCTTCTGTGTGTTCTCGGCACTATGTTCATGCCTCTGTTACAACAAATACTAAGAGATAAGATATATATCCTCACATGTCTACTAGATTGTGTTTGTTTCAACTACATTGGAATTGGGGTAGAAAACAAGGGAGAAAAGGAGAGCAAATAACATGAAGACTCAAATATGAAAGAGAATAAGGCACAAAGAATGAGTCTGATTCAGTGAATAAGGAACATAAATTGAGGCTAGTTTGAATAAAAATATATAATTAAAAGACTACTTTTATTCCAAGTTTGAATGGATTCTTTGGACATTCATTAGATCAGTGCTGTTAGGACAGTAAGGACATCTAGTCTCCTCTCTTGGAAGACAATACTAAACCTAAGAGAAGCAAAGACAAGGCAAAAAGAACAGATCAAAAGCCAGGTCAGAGAAGAAGAGCTAAAGCACCAGGCTCTCCCTCGCCCAAGGAAGAGGCTGCTCAATGACATGAGACCAGCATTAAAGCACAAAAGACTATCAGGTAAAATGAATCATTTAGGTGTCTAACTGTAAGTTCCCACTAGATTGCAAGTTCCTGCCAGACAGGGTGGGGCTGAATAATCTTGGTGATCTCAGCACGTAGTATGAGGCTTTGCATATAGTAGATAGGCTCAGAAAATGCCTTTTGAATACATATGCAAGTACCAACTGTCTGACCACTGAGTCAGCAGGTCTTGGTTGAGTAATGGTCCTATTTCAATTCCTCAAAACCCCAAAGTGTTAAATATCTTTATCAGCATCGCTCACCAGCAGTGGCAGCTTGCATCATCAACTGGGCAAAGTGGATGGCACCTCCTTTCTTGAAGACTAATTTAAAAGTAGCCTGTCCTTCCCAGCCACCTGGGGGGGGAAAAATGGCACACACTAAGAGACTGGCACAGCTGGCAACAGAGGACTGGCATAAACACGGAAGGGAGTACTACACAAAGAAGCAGGGTTGCTTTCGTTTATATCCCACTGTGAGCTAAGTCTGAATCTTAACCCTTTTAGAATTTTTTGAGGGGAAAAAAAAAAAAAAAACACTTCTAAAAGGAAACACTTACCATCTGGAGCTGCCTGAATGGTCCCTTTAATGTAGTTTGCACCAAAGACTGGTTGTTCAACAGTGCAGTTCTTCATCAGATCAAACGGCATCATGAAAGACAACATAGGATCACTGGCTGAGCGTGAAGTCACAAAAATCACCTAAATGAGGGGGAAAAAAACTTTGGAAATGGAATGCAGAATTTGTCTGTGGGTAGAAACTTGTAAGAGCAAGGTCAAGGCTGCTTTGACATGCTGGCCTAATTGAGAAACAGCATCCATTTTCTTCCATCCCTCTTCAAAATGGAAAAATCTCCAGGTAAAAATGTTTTAAAAGACTTTGAAAGTCAGTGTTTAACTTCTCTCCAGTTTTATGGAAACAAATGCAAAGTTAGTCAGTAGATCAAAGAAGTAGAAATTACCCGATATGAAGTGAGAAACAACGTTCCCCTCTTTGTACCACTAAAGAGGTTGGAGCCCTGTGGTGACTGTGGGAAGGAAAGCTCCACATCTGAACACTGCTTCAAGAGACTGCAGAAGAGAAAGAGCAGACAGCACAGGATTAAGAAGTTATATAAATGGCACACATAGAACTGGGAATATAGCTCAGAGATAGAGCTCAGAGCCAAGGCCATGAGTTTGATCCCCAGCACCAAAAAAAAGAAGAAAGAAAAGGCCAAAATTATACACATAAAGCTCTTAACACAGTTCTTAGTCCAAGTGATCTTATTCTCTGACAATTCACTTACTCTTCTCTTTTTCTTCTTAAATCTACTCCTATTCTCAATGTTTGTTCTTTAGTTCTTATACTTCTAATATAACTCGGCTAACAGAAATGTTCCTTTAAAGAAACATTCTTAAAGGTCAGGCACAGAGAATGCCTCAGCATCTTCTGACATGTTGTTCCCTCCCCTCACTCCTAACCTGGAAAACTTGTATTCATCCTTTTCTCACTCATAGAATCCTGTCAGGGATTTTTCCAGTAGGGAATTTATAATATGTATAATATGTTGGCGATTTATAATATATGTGTGTTTATTTGTTCAATGTCCTCCCTAATGATTACCCTCTCTAATGACTGTTAGAGACAATGACTGTCTTCTTTGCCTTTATAGCCCTAGCAAAGAGGAAGTGTTACTAAATATATAGTGAACGAATAAATGAACACAGAACATAATGCAAGCAATAAATGACATACATATATAAATGCCATAAAAATGTAATAGCAATTTAATGGAAGGATATATTGGCTTTGGTTAAAACTTTTTGTTTGGAACTGAAATCAGACCTTTTATTTTTTGGCAGCACTGGGATTTGAACTCAGGGCCTCACACTTGGTAGGCAGATGTTCTATCATTTGAGCCATGTCCCATCGGATTAAAACATTTATGAATGGCATCACTGAAGCGCTACAATATGAGCTGATTTTGAAGAGACAGGTAGTGGACACAGGTAAGGGTAAAAAACAATCTAGGTGGGGCATCAACAGCATTAATGAAGATACAGGAACAGATAATGGAAAGCAAATTGCATACTTGGAAGAGGCCTGGCAGTGTGGCTTCACCAAACCATACCATAGGAGTGAAGTTATGAATAGTGAGATAAAGCAAGAAAGCCATGATGGGATTAGAGCTTGGAAACATCATTTTACAGTCAAGGAGGAACTGTGAGCTGTAGATTTCTGAGGGAAGTCTCATGATTGAGAAGGTGGTGGTATATTGGAAGGATTAGTTTGAGTTCTCTAAGTTGTCCTGTTGCAATAAGAACTGGAACCAGAGTGGTAGTATGCAGATAAAAAGGGAAAGGTTTAAATCTAAGAACATATAGGATAGCAGAAAAAATAGAGGACTAGGGAACTCAAAAATGTCAGTCTAGCTACAAAACCAATGACCATATGGGCAAAATCTGTCAGAATCAACTTTTTCAGAACTCTAAAATCTAATCAAAAGCTTACAGGCTACACGTTCTCCTGCTATTTGCTATCCACCATGAAGTGACACAGTTCAGACGGGGCCCACAGCAGAGCTTAGCTAAAGCCAACGCCATGACCTTGAGATTCTAAAACTCATTTAAATAACTTCCAGAACCTAAATAAATGGCAGTTTAAAACAGTTTCACTTCTTTTAGGTTGCAATAATAGCAACTGACCTGACCTTATATTTTAAGAGAAGAGCAAACTGACTAGGAGGCCATCAAATATGTAACCCTTGACTCAACCAAAAACAAGATGATTACTGCAGTGACTATGACTGCATGTGGCTTGCCACCATAACCAAGCCCCAGATGATACAAAGTTGATTAGCACTTCTAGTAGAAAATGAATTTTGGGAACAAGGAGATACAGAGAAAACAGTGCTGTAACAACAACCTATCTCCATGTAACAAAAAAGATGAACTGACCAAACTTCAAGTTGGATTTATTTTGTTTGTACTTTTTTTTTCAGGGCCTCACACTTGCTAGGCATGTGCTCTACCACTTGAGCCGCTTCACCAGTGTCTTGAGAACTATTTCCCTTGGCTGGCCTCCAACCACAATCCTCCTAATCTCTGCCTCCTGAGTAGCCCGGCTGTACTTTCATTTGTACTTTTCACAGAAATCACTTATGCTGAATGATCCTCAGAATAACAGAATGGAACAGAAATCCCTAGATAATGAGTATGATGCAAAGATAAAGGCAACTAAGTAGAGATGAAAAGTAAGAAGTAGGAAAAGTGATTGAAAAAATTGCTAAAGCCAAGTGTGGTGGCTTTAATCCCAGGATGTAGGAGGTGGAGGCAGAAAGATCCAGAGTTCAAGGCTAGCCTGAGCTACACGGTGAGACCCTGTTTCAAAAAATATACATTAAAAAAAAACTGCTGAAGATATAGAAGGTGATTGTGATGACAATATTCCAAAACATGTTTAATGTTGTAATATAATCTAACTGGTCCAAAGGTAAATATTTTATTTTCAAGGAAGAGGAAAATATTCAAAAGAACATCATACTTCATTTAGCAAACCATTAAGAGTAAGATCTTCAGAAAACTACTCTCTCAAGCAAGTTTGAGATACTGCATTCAAACCACAGTACTACCCCTGTCCCCCTCAAAAAAGGAAAAGAAAAACTACCCTCTGACTATCAAGAAAACCTATATTGCTACTCTGAAATAATAAAGTTCAACAAAAGTGAAAAATAAAAAGGTTTACAACAATTAGGGAAATGTTTAAAGAAGGAAAAACAAAAAGCTGGCTCTACCACTTCAGCCGCTCCCCAGGCCTGCTTCACGGCATCTTAACTTACTCTTGTATTGACAGAAAGGGAGAGGGAGATAGCTCAAGTAGTAGAGTGCCTGCCTAGAAAGAATGAGGCCCTGAGTTCAAATTCCAGTGCCACCAAAACAAGGTTGGGGGGGCAAAGGCTGTAATCCTAGTATTTTGGAGACTGAGATCAGAGAATCTTTTCTGATTCCAGAAAAAAGATTTGTGAGACCCCCCATTCCAGGCAAAAAGATTTGTGAGACCCCCCATCTCAACGGAAAAAAGTTGGGTGTGTCAGTGGGTCCCTGTCATCCCAGCTATGGAGGGAAGTGTAAAAACAAGAGGATCTTGGTCAAAACCAGCCTGGGCACAAAATGAGACCCTATCTCCAAAATATACAGAGCAAAAAGGGTTGGAAGCATAGCTCAAGTGGTGGAGCGCCTGCCCAGCAAGTCTAGCAAGTGCAAAGCCCTGAGTTCAAAGCCCAGAGCTACCAAAAAAAAAATGGGCAAAGGACTTGAATGGATATATCCAATACACAAATGGTCAAGAAGAATTCTCTTGTTGAAAAGATTTCAACATCGTTAATCATCAGAGAAATGCAAATGAAAACCACAATGAGGTATCAATTTTTACACATTAGGATGGATTCTATATGAATAATGAGAATTGTGGCAAGCACATGGAGAAATTGAAACCCTTCTGTATACCAGTGGCAGAACCATAAAACAATGGAACTGTTACAGAAAACAGTATGGAAGAGCCTCAAAAAAATTAAGAACAGAACTATCACATGATCCAGTAATTGCACTTATATCTCTATATATTCTAAACAATTGAAAGCAAGATCTCAAAGAGATATTGCACACTTATATTCTTAATAGCACTAGTCACAACAGCCAAGAGGCATAAGCAATCTAAATGCCTATCAATGAGTGAAGAGGAAAAACAAAATGTGGTATATACATACAATGGAATATTATTCAGCCTTGAAAACAAAATTCTCACATGCCACAATAGATGAATCCATATTATGCTAAGTTATATAAACCAGTCACAAAAGGACAAATACTATGATTCCACTTATATGAAAATCTAAAGTCAAATTCATAGAAACAGAAAGTAAGACAGTAATTACCAGCAGCTCAGGGGAAGTTACTTAATGGGGACAGAGTCGTTGTAAGTTAATACTCTGTAGCCAGGTTTGCAATAGAAATATGCATATATATATAGAAAGAGAAGCCTATTATATATATATTCTATACAGAATTGTTCATATTGCTAAAAAATTGAAAACTATGCAAACACCCATAGTGTTGAGAATCTGATAAAAACAGACACATGAATGCAGCTATTCATTATTTAAAAAGAGTAAGGCTTCTCTTTCTGTATAGAAGACTATCATACATATATATATAATCTTGTGGTACTGGGGTTTGAACTCTGCACCTCACACTTGCTAGGCAGGTGAGCCCCTCCACCAGTCCAATATATATTTATATTTTTAACTGTGTATTTTATGCTAGTTTAAGAAGTCTATGTCCTCTGACCTCTTAGGAAATATATTCTGATTAAATATTTTTTGAAGTTGTTTAGAAGATTAAATTTATATCAAAAGTCCTCATGTAAATCAAGCAGACACGAATAAAGCATTTACAATGAAGTTCTCAAATAAGACACTAATATATACCTTTTTCATAGGATAACAATACCATTACTATAATTGATACATTGTTTTCTTATAGAACTTAAGGAACTACTTTATTAAAAGTAATTCTTTTTATGTCTAATGTTCAACATCCTTAACTATAAAGGAAACTCAAATCAAAACTGCACTAAGATTCCATCTCAGCCTAGTCAGAATGGCTACTTCAAGAAAACAAACAATAAATACTGGCAAGGATGGGGGAACAGGGAAAGCAACCCTCATACACTGTTAGTGGGAATGTAAACTAGTGCAACCTCTGTGGAAATCAGTATGGAGGTTCATCAAAAGCTAAAAATAGACTTACCTTATGACCCTGTTATACCACTCTTTTCCATATATATATATATATATATATATATATATATATATATATATATGAAGGAATGTAAATCAATATACAAGAGACACCTGCCCACTCATGTCAATTGCAGCACTATATAAAATAGCCAACTTGTGGAATCAGCCTAGGTGCCCAACAATTGATGAATGGATAAAGAAAATGTGGTATATATACACAATTGAGTATTATTAAGCCATAAAGAAGAATGAGATGTTGTTTGCAGGAAAATGGGTGGAACTGGAGATCATCATTTTGAGCAAGAAAAGCCAAGCCCAAAAAGCCAAACAGCTCATGTTTTAGCTGGACTCTAGGTCTAATATGATAATAATGAATATGGGTCATGAATGTAAAAGAGAGACTAGGAAGGTGGAATCAATGGCAGAGGATGAAGGTGTGGAAGGGGTGAAGAGATTCGAAGTACGTTGCATGTATTTGTATGAAGATAGTATAATGAAACCCACCAAATACTGTTTGAAAAGGCGGACCCGGAAAAGGAGCTAAGGGAATACAATGGAGGGGTGAACTAGTTCAAAGTACACTGTATGCATCTATGAAACGTTCACAATACAACTCTCTTGTACTATTAATGACTCCTAAAAATAAAAAATTAAAAATAAAGGTTAATTATTTCTAACAAATCCTGATATTTTAGTACAGGTTGAGTATCCCTTATCCAAAATGCTGGGGCCCAGAAATAGTTTGGATTTGGAATATTTGCATATACATAATGAGATTTCCCATGCAATATTTTATAGTAAAAAAACTACTTGATATTGTTCTTATGCTTACATTCTAAAAATTATCTTCAGTCCTCAACTGAATTTTGTACTCACATTTTAAAGTTATATTAACATAATAAATACAATTTTAATCACTAAGTTCTTATCTCTGACATATGTGCTTTTCTTTATCCTTGGGGTCCTGAATCATCGGATCTTGAGGGACTCCCTGGGTTTCCACTTGTTTTGTTTTTCAAATTTGGCTTGCTGATTGAGGCTGTTACAAGCAAGATCTTCCCCATCATCTTCCTAATTTTTTCTTCTGGCTCAGGAATTTTCCTATCTCTTCTTTCTTCTTTGGAGGCTCACATTCTCCCAAGTATATTTTCAGGACAGGAGTAACTTAAGTGTCCACTTTCCCCTTACTTAGATTGATCAAAGTAGTTTGATCAATCAAACTTTCAGATAAACTCAGCTGCTCTTCGTTGTCAATAGAAATGTTTGCCTTTATCACTCTATCAAATAACTGTTGTTTATTGCTTTATACGGTCTTTATCCAAAACTAAAATAAATGGAACCCCTTTACTCTTCCTAGTAACTTAACCTCCACAATTTTGCCATATTTTAAAAATATTCTATGTAAGTCTGTGTCAGAAAGAAGGGCAAGCTGGATTGCATACACTGTGCTCTTACTTCGAGCCAAGTCACCATTCATTCCTTTATGTGGGGTGGGGCTGGAAGGACCAGAAGAGCATGAGAGTTTGGTTCAGCTGAGGCTCAACCCTAACTCTTTCTTACTCCTAGCAGCAGCCTTAGCTTCATGTATTCCAGGAGTGAGGCACAGAGACCAGATGGTAGCAATCCCAAAGACACAACTTGATAGTTGAACAAAGACATATTTTCAAAATGTTCATCCCAGGAATGTTCATGTAATGACCAACAAACCCAGAATATCTCAGATTGGAGGCTGAATACAGATTTATACGTACTGGACTACCAGCCATTGACACAATACAGATATAGATACTAGAAGGCATACTCCATATATTGGTAAATGAGAGAAACAAGTTGCAAAGCCGTCAGAAGGGGGAAGCATGTGTTTCCATAGAGAAAAGTGAAGAAAGATTCATAAAGAGATGTAAAAAATACTGAACGTTGGAATTTGAGATAATAAAATTTTTCCTATTTTTTCTATAGACAGGTGATATTATCTGCACAAGTTTTTAAAAATAGATAAAATAACTCAATGTTCTCCTTTTCTACAATATAGTCTGCCTCATACATTCATGATTTCTCAGATAAAATCACAAAAAATTCTCTACAAGTCAGGCATGGTGGCCAAAACTGGTTCTCCCCAGCACCTGCGCGAGTAAGGCAGGAGAATCAAGAGTTCAAGACCATCCCAGGCAAAAGTTAGTTAAGACCCTGTCTTATAAATATAATAACAAAAAAGGTCTGGGGGCTGTGGCTAAAGTTGTAGAGCACTTGCCTAGCAAGCTTGAAGCCATGTGTTCAATCCCCAGTGGACATGGTGGGTGAGGGGGGGCATACTCTACAAAATATAGCCAAGTTGTGATTAATTTCTCAAGTGTAAAAAAAAATTTCTCAAGTGTATATTCTTACTAGGAAAGAGAAGTAAAAATAGAACCAATCTTTTCCCTCTCAGGCTGTTTCCTTAAAGTAGTGTGGCCTTCTTTGGTGTACAGAATCAGGCTTTTCCATATGCACTGGAAATATGAATTTGACTAATTTCTCTTGTTTTCCCACTTGTGAAATGAGGAAAATAGAGCTGATCCTCACTGCAGACAGAGCATTTATTAGTATAAAGAACAGTGCCTGGCATATTTAACTGTTCAAGAAATGCTACTATTAGGTGTTCAAGAGCACAGGATGAACTTCATAACAAATAATTCAAGGAACCATAAAATCAAGTGTTTTCTGTTCATTTTTTTTAAATACGTCAATATCTGTCTCCAACATAAAGAGCAAAGGAGACAAACACGCCCAATAGCCTGAATGAAAAAACACCTAAAAACACCAGACTAGAAATGGCTTCGCAGTACAAGGATCAAGTGCTCTGGTCAGTGCACACAGAGACTTCAGGGTCATCTCCTCCTATCAATTGAACAAAATAGCAGAGGTACTTCGGGAGCAACCTCCACAGACCATATGGAAGTGTCAATGTCCTGGGGAGAAGAACCTTAGAAAAGAGATCTGTATGTCAGCATTTGGTCATGTCTTCTTGGATCATCCTAACACGTGCATTCAAACTAACCTAGGTGTGCTACCTGAGCACATCATTAGGGTTGCTCACTACTAGGTGGGAGACAAGGAAAATCAGGGCATATCAGCAGAGAGCTGTGTAGCTGGACACACAGAAGGACTGTGGAAAGTGGGTGGGAGGAGGAATAAAGAAGGAGTGGGACCAGGTGCCGTGGCTGACGCCTGTAACCCTTGCTACTCAAGAGGCAGAGATCAGGAGGATCGCAATTCAAGCCAGCCCCAGGCAAATAGAGAAACCGTGTATCTCGAAAAATACCCATTACAAAAGAGGGCTGGTGGAGGGGCTCAAGTGGTAAAGCACTTGCCTAGCAAACCCCAGTGCCGCCAAAAATAACTAAAAAACGGAGGGGAGTGGGGTGAAGGCCCTAGGTGCGCGAGTCTGCCTGGAGATGAGCTCCTCCTGGCCGGGAGCATCGTCCTTCCTGGACATCCTTCTGTCCAGATCTTTGATCTTTTCAGTAAGAAGAGGAGCAGTTATTCACCTCCCTGGCTGGGGAGATGAGGAACGGAGGCTTTGGGAAATTTCGAGGACCAGGGAGGGCCCTCGACGGCTCGGGATCAACCCACAGCGATCCACACTCCACCTCCTCGTGCCTCGTACGGTTCCCCAAAGCCCACGACCTGGTCCCCAAGTCTGGGAAGCCGCGCGCCCGGGACCCTCGCCGCCGCCATCACCCTGCAAAGTCAGGCACAGCCGAAGGCGGCCACACCACGACCCGAGGGGCGGCTCATTCCTAGCGACCAGCCTTTCTTCCGAGGCGACACTGAGTGCCTGCGAAGAAGCCCTTCCGCTCCCGCCCTCGCCCTCTGCACGCGCCAAGTCAGGCGCTCCCCGCTCGGCTACACCCATGAGGGCGCCGCGCTCATTCATCTGGGGCGACGCTCGGTGTGCGCGCCGGAAAAAGGCGGTAAAGGCCCCGATTCGCTGCGGGCTGTGAGCCCGCACGTCAACCCCACTCCTGTCCTCCCTCCTCTCGCAGGAATCCCGGGGTACCCCCAGGAACCTTTCGCCTTGAGGGATGGCAACCCCTCTACCGTCGTCGGCGTGGCTCTGGTTCACCGCCATCTTGCTACAGGCCCCCTCCCGCCGCCCCTCAGATGGGGAAGGGACGGGACCTGTGCCAAGCCGTGGGGCGTGGCCCTGAGGTGGGGGGCGGAGATTATGGCGCAAAAACCAGAGTGGGCGAGGCAGCTGTCACGTGACGGAGCAGAGGTTAGAGAAACGGGCGGAGTCAAGATTGAGACACGCCCTGACAGCAAAAGGGGTGGGTACCAGGAATTGGTTCCGCCCCCGGGCGCGAAGATGCACAGACATAGGGCCGTGGTCTGTCAGTCGTCCCCAGAACCTTTGCAGGGTTTATCCCACACACTTCTCGACTGGGATCAGGACCTACTGTTGTTCCGAGAAAGACCCAGATTCCTCCTCTCTCCAAACACCAGCAGAACTTTTTTCCAGAGAAGGCCTGGAACTAGAGCCGATTGTCTTGTGAGGTAGCATCCAGGAAAGGAAAAGGCCAGGGAGCTGTCAGGAAGCGGAAGGTGAATTTCGAACCTCAGTGAGTCCAGGCCAAATCCAAGATCCAGGGAGCCTTTGACTCTGTCATTTGTCATACCAGCCCCGCCTCCTCCAAAAGTTGATCCGGTGGAATACATGGTAATAGAATTGCTTTGAGGACTAGAATGTTGAACATATTCTTATTTCCTTTAAACTTCACAAAAGCACCAGAATAAAGGGCTATAAATGCCTTGACTACTGTATTTCATGAATTTAAAATGCTGTCAGGTATAACATAAACCAATTATTAATGTACCGTTAATGGGAAGAGCTGCCAAATAAATTGACATGCCAACAGTTGGAAGATACATCCTAATCTCAGAAATGTTTTTCAAGTACAAGACTTATTAGAACAAATGAAGTAAAATAGAAATGGTGGGAAGCAGTGAAACAAGCGTTGAGATCTAGTCTCTATACTACCGTGATAACTAAATGCAACCTTGGGCAAGAGGATTTTATTCTCTGGACTTCAGCTTCCTTGTCTGCATGAACTAAAAGAGCTCTTATGTTTCTTGTGGCTGTGATATTTTATGACTACCAAACTCTCTGTCATTCATTTCTCTCCATCTGCCTTATGTTGCCATTCTAATACCTACCCTTGTCGTTTTACTTCAATGATTTCAAGAGGCTCTTGATTCTTCTTCCTCCAATTCTGACTTCTCCAAACCATTTCCCACCTTTCCTCTATACCTTGTGCTCACCCCCACAGAAAAGTTGAGGCCCCAAATACAACTCTGTATAGTTGTTACACACAAATTTAGAGAAATAATACAGAGGTCAGAGTTCTTTTGTTTTCCAGTTACAAAAAAGAGTGAGCCTCTCAAGGAAAGGAAGTTGTTTTAAATTCAAGGAAGATTCAAGCTAGTGTCTCAGTTTAAATTCGTTGTAAAAAGTCAGTTTTCCATACAAGATGGATCCACTCCTTTCATAGAGTTGGTCCTTATGCCTTAGGGACAAAAGGGAAGCTAGGAAATTAACTGAATGTAAATAAGCATTTTCCTGCAAGAAGGCAAAGCACAGCATCCATGAGGTAAGGTGTGACAGCTCTTTCACTCATTTGTGATACAAAATCCTGGGAAATAATGACTGGGGTCTGACCTTGTGCCACCTGAAGATGAACTGACCTCACAAATTCTTTCCATCTCTAATATCTGTGGCTACTTCTTACTAAGTGTCCCCGGCTCACACCCCCACCCCATGGGTGAGATGATATAATGGCTGATTCAGTCAAGGGACAAAGAACGCAAATAAGACAAAGACGAGGCAGTTATTGTTCAAACAGCAATGTTTAGTTGTACAACACATAAAGTCTAGCAACATTTACACAACCAGTTTGAGTTTCTGTTGGCTTGTTTTCAACTGGAAAATTTAACCAGAATGTCACCAAAAGGTTGGCTGGGACCGGTGATTTAAGAAATGGGTCGTTCTTGCATCCCCTAGGCTTGGGCCTCTTGTTGCATCAGGACTTGGTTGTAGATGAATGGCCCTCAAGTCACCAGCCTTTGAGCAAGTTGTGTCCAGGTGGAGATGGGGAGTGTGTAGTGGGCAAGGGAGGGTTTTAAAAAGACACAGTGTATAGGGCAGTGGCAGCCGACATTCGCAAACATTCATGCATCTTATGGGGCTTTGCCCTCCATTGGGTATTTTCCATTAGCCTACAGTGACCACCTGTGGCCAGGCTAATGCATTACTCACATTAACGGGGTGGGGGTGGAGGATAGGAGTAGTAGGGATAGGTGGGAAGTGATCCCTCTTATTGCTACGTGTACAGAAGGGTGCTGTTTTACTTCCTAGAGTATATAGTTTGTAAGTTTCTAGAATTTCATGTGTTTATTTTTTTAGTTTGGGGATAAAATCAACTCCAGAAATTTCTTTGGGAAAACCACTCTTCCTGAGTGGCTGCATTTGTGGGGCGAAGAGGGTGTGTACCCACACACAAAGCCAGCCACCAGTGGTTTTTGTTGTTGTTGTTGTTGTTGTTGTTGTTGTTTTAGAAAGTGATGCTAATCCTTGCTCCCTGGCATCTGTAGTGACCCATCCTTGTAAATACGTTTAAGCAATGAAGGAGACACCCTTGTCCCACACTGGGGCTCACACTCCTGACCTCTGAATCTGACAAGCAGAAAAATTGCTTTCTTGACCCATTAAGGAAGTCAAGAGTAGCTCATGCAGATGAATGGATAGGGAGCAATGCTGTTTCCCTGGAAATGGTTACAAGTAGCTGGTATGGGTTTGCAAAGGCAGAAGAAGCTCTTGGTGAGTTCTTTCTCCCTACAGATGGGCTGGGACCGGCTGACACAGACGATGGAGCAGGCAGTGCTGGCGAGAACTCCATTCCAGTGAGAGGAGAGAAGTGGTTTGGCTAAATAGAGGAAGCAACTGTCCTAAAGAGGCAGCTGGCCCCTCCCACCTGCCGAGGGTCCAGAGGGGCTGTGGTGGTGGGCTGGACAAGCACAGCACTAAAAAGGGCTTGGCCTGCAGCAATAACAGCTGAGAGGAATGGAGGGAGAAGCAGCGCTTGAAATGGCCTTCATTCAGCAGTGGGACAGGGGGTGGCTGGCACAGGTGGAAGGACAGTGCCCAGGAGGCCTTCTCCCTGCAGGGGGGTTGAGAATGGTTGAGGGTGTGGAGACCAGCAGCTGGCAGCAGACACATAAAACAGCTTCTCCAGGGAGGCTGAGACTAAGGTTTAGCGGTGCCAGGCACCATTCTCCTACTCAGCCTGTCCAATGCCCGCCGCCCTCACCCCTTGAGGTTCCCCTGCTGGTCCTAGTGCCACATCTCCATAGAAGAACAAGCACTGTTAGGAGCTAGAGAGCCCTCTGCAGGTGAAAGGTAGCAAGCTCTAGGGTATAACTGCTGCTTTCTATCTAGTTACTCCTACCATGGAGTAACTTTGTGGGCAATGGAGGAGGAGGGTTAGAATGGTAAATCAGCCTCCAGGAAAGACTGAGACCATAGGATTGGGAGCACTGGTATCTGATCATCCCTTCTCTTTCTCCTGGTCCACTAAATAGGATCTTCAGGCTCTATTTTTTTTTTCCTAGCACCTGAGTAATAAAGAACTGGGGATTATAAATGCTGGCATTCAAAGAGGACCAGTTAAACACCTAGGTTGGACCAGGAGGTGTGACAGGAAATTGGATGAGGTTGTTGTAAACAGTATCATTTGGTGTTTTCCCTTTTCTAAGGCTAAATTGTTTCCCCAGCCCCAAATTTCAGCAACCTTACAGATTAAAGGAAAAAGGGTAACTTATTTGAACAATAAACTGTAGAAGTATAAGCATGAGTAAGTACAATGCTTACGGAAAAAGCAAGAAAAAGCTAAGTGTATGGGTCCAGGTATCACTGAGGACACCTTCAGGAGTCAGGGGGAGGGGGAGTTGGGGAAAAGCAGAGAAAGATAGACATAAATGTAACTCACTTCAGCACAAAAGTGAGGGAGAACTGCGAATAAGGAGGGAGTCAAGTATGTATGACACCAGGGAGCCACAGAAAAGCCAGCTTGACAGAGAAGTCTCATGGAAAAAAGGGAAGTGAGGTCTAAAATTTATCTTTGAAGCCAAACCATTGAGAAAGAGAAATAGGCTATATTGTTTCCAAAACTTCTTTAGAATTAGTTCTTCTAGAACTTAATGTCCTCCACCCCAAAAAGCTGTCTCACTCGACCAGTATGCGTGCTTCCTTGAAAGGCACTAGGAACTGCAGAAGTCACCATGTTTCCTTCCTTGACTTGGCTGCCCACAAATTCAGGACCAATTTCAGTGTTCAACTGTGGAAACTGTCTTTCCTATTCCTCTCTATGGCCCTGATTTCTCTTGTGATCTAAGTTTATATTGTCCCATGTTTTAGTTGAAATTCTATTTTACAGTGGCCTAAAGTTACCTTTTGGAAGTAGGCTGGGCATAAATCCTAAATATGGAAATGAAACTAAAGTGGATTAGTCTAAAAGGAAGTGAAAGACATCAGAGACAGTAAGGAGAGGTAGGAAAAATGAATATATGAATATATGAAGGAAGGAGAGAAAGGGGAAGAAAAGCAGGAAGCAGAGGCAGGCAACTGGCCCCAGAGCAGAGGCAAGGTGATCAGGAAAAGCAGCAGTCTGCAACAGTGACAGGTGGTAGCTTTTGGACAATGACCTTGACACAGTCCAAAGGGTGGAGCTCCACTTTCAGGCACTAGTTCTTTCTGCAGGAATGAAGCTGAGGCATGCTTCTGCTCCCCTGTGACCTTCCTTTTCATTTTCTCAGGAAGCCCTAGCCTTACCCCAAACCACCCCAACTTACAGAGAAGGTTGTCCTGTACGTAGTCCCACTCCTGACCCTAGGCTAACTCAGCCACCTGACCTTGGAGAATCTTTACAGTCCCATTGTGGGTGGGGTCAGAGGTAAGAAAGAGTGGCTTACCTGCTCCCACCATTTTTAAATAAAACCTCCCCCAGACCTCGAGTGAGGCACAAGCTTTGTTCTGGGGCACAAAGAAAGGAGACAGATAATGGAGAGTCATGGAGGATCCAGACTTACAAGGGACTTTCCAGGGAAGGCAATGAAAATACCTCACCCCTGAGCACACACACAGGCACACTCTCTCCCTCTCACATACACACATGTACACACACACACACACACACACACACATACACACACACATAAAGTAGACAAAATACTCTACAAATACCAGATAGGCCTGCGGGACAGAGCTGAAAGGAAGAAAGTGGTAGGAGGTGGTATTTGGGATGTGTGTGTGTAGAGAATAGGGATATGTGTGATGACACAGAGAAGAGGGGTCATCATGGGTTACTGTCGTGGCTTTCCTCTGTGTCCACGCTCACCGGAGGGAGGCCTCCATTGTCATTGAGCCGCTTGGCCCTGTAAGTCTCATAGTGGATGTTGTGTGTCACTTCCTTGAGGTCCTGAAGGTGGGTCCTGAAGGACACAGGGTGAAAAGACAGGGGGATGCAATTAATGGCAGGAAGGAGGAGGTGACCCACCTCTGAGGCTAACACATCACTTGGGTGGACTGGACCCAGTGATTGCTACCCACTCCACAGAGCCAATGATTCTTCCACAGCTCCTTCTGCTCCTTCTGCTTTGAGACAGGAGCTGGAACTGGGACAGAAAGCTCTGTCAGAGAGACCTGGAGGCAGGAAGTAAATCTAAACAGATGGCCCCTGATTCCAAATAATTAAACCTCCCATTTAGGCAAGGGGGTGGGGGGTTAGCTTACCTGATGACAAAGTCTCGAAGCAGGGCAAACTCACAGTGGTTGAGGTTTTCCACTAAGAACAAAACAAGGAAAATAGGTGGTCATTTCGTTAATGCAACACCCAGGGGATAAATTTCTGTTTGGGTCCTAGAGAACATGGGACAAGTTCTTTTGCAACCTTGCCAGAACTTTGCTCACTTCAGTGTACTAGATTTTACTTATTGAACAAATATTTATTAAGCAGCTACAATGGACACAATACATTCTGGACAATATGGAATAATACTCCAATGTGGAATAATAGCTAACAGGGAATAATCTCTTTTCCATTTTACAGAAAAGAAAACTAACATACGTGAGTCCAAGAAACTTGCCAAGGTCTAAGGTAGCATTCCAATCCTAAAGGAATTTATAATCTGATTGAAAGAAAGTAATATATAGGGCTGGGCTTGGTGGCACGGTCTATAATCCCAGCTACTCAGGAGACAGAGATAGGAGGATCACAGTTTGAGGCCAGCCCAGGTAAAAAATTAGTGACACCCTATCCCAAAAAACAAGCCAGAGCTGGACATGGTGGCTCATGTCTATAATTCCAGCTACTTGGAAAATGGAGATCAGGAAGATCAAGGTTTGAAGTTGGCCTGGGCAAAATGTTTGTGAGACTCCCATATCAACAAACAAGCCAGGAGTGGTACACAGCTGTTGTCCCAGCTACATAGGAGGCATAAGTAGGATGATCATGGTCCTAGGCTAAAATGCAAGACCTATCTGAAAAATAATCTAAAGCAAAAAGGCCTGGGGATGTGGCTCAGGTGGTAGAGAGCCTGCTTAGCAAGTAAAAAGCCCTGAGTACAAACCCCAGTACTGCCAAAAAAGAACAAAAGAATGTAATGTGTATAGAATATAACAATTGAGCTGTCTTTGAAAGGTCATACGCTACATGATAAATCCAATTCAACATAAATGGTGTACCTGCTATTTGTAAACCACTTGCCAAGGATTGTGGGAACAGAAGGAGGATTAGGACAAGACTGTGTGGTCTTACAATTGGCACACAATATTCTTACAAATAACTCCAATTCAAAACAAATGGTGAGAAGGCACTATTTTTAAAATCCCAAGGTACCAGACATGGCACACACCTATCATGTCAGCAAACTCAAAGCCGGTCTAAGCTACTCTAGTAAGACCCTGTCTCAAAAAAACAAGAGTTGGGTATGTAACTCAGTGACAAAGCACTTGCTTAGCAAGTGCAAGGCCCTCAGTTTGATTCCCAACATCGCAAATTAATTAAAAACCCAAAAATGGGTCACAGGAAAATAATTCAATGGAGTAAGCTTTGGTTGGGAATCAAGATATCAAAATTTGAAATCCATTTCACTATTAACAACTTATGTGACTGCTTGCCTAGCATGAAGACTCTGGGTTTGATCTCCAGCACCACCAAAAAATGTTATGTGACCTTGGGCAAGGCACTTAACATGTCTGAGATTCAGGTGTCTCAATGGCTTATATTCTGAGGACAGGAATACCTGCCCTGCTCCCCTGATAGAGTTACCATATTGAATTAGGTCACTGAATGAAAATTTGTATGTATGTATGTTGGGGGGGTCGAAATGGGGGTGCAAGGGATGGAACCTGGGTCCTTGCTTATCCTAAGCAAGTGCTCTGCCACTAAGCCACATCCCCAGCCCTGAATGAGACCATTGAAGTGACCAGTGAAAACTTCCAGAATCATCATGACCTCCCCAAGGTCACATTCATTCAAATAAAGTGGAAATGGCAACATTTGACCACCCTTCACTGTACTTTGCCACATCATATCTGCCTTCATGTAAAAACCTTTCTCTGATTTTTCCAGTCCTCACTAATCTATCCTGAACTCCTTTGAAATGCCAACTTGGTCACATGCTAAGTTGGTCTCTTATTGCTTCCTGCCTGCAAGTACCATCTCAATTAGACTGTAAGCTCCTTACAGACGGAATCTGGTTGTCATTAATTATATATAACATATCCTAGGATAGACTTTGCCTATTGATGCTTGATAACTGGTTTCTGGATAACTGATCAGCAGCCAGCTCTGCCAGAGGATGCATTGAATTACCTTCGATGATCCCCCAGGGAGTTTTTCTGCCGAGGACCCTCTTGCCATTCACTTGATACTCCTTGTCACTTCCCACCACAGCAAAAGGCATGCTCTCCTGCTGGACAGGGACAGAAACACAAACCAGACACACATGCACAGTTATCTTCCTTTGACCTGAAGGTCCCAGGGCAGAATATCTAGCCCTGAAGCACACATTTCTGCGGCTTATTCAGTGATACTACTGGAGGCAAGAGCAAGGCTCTTTGAGAAGAACCCTGGACTGGCAGTCAGAAGTCTTGGGTCCAAGCCTGAATGTACCACTGCGTGGCTGATTAACATCAGTAAGTCAGCTTTCCTTCAACTGGAGGTCACTTTGTACATTTCATACTGTTTCAGCACTGTGTTTGATTTGAAACAACTCCTGTGAGCTAGCTAAGACAGACAGAACCTCCTGTGACAGAACACGCTCACTCAGTGTGTTACAGTGTCTCCCATGGAATCTACTGGCAGATGCCAGGTCCTGAATGCTCATAGCACTAGGCCCTTCTGCTCCACCCAGTGGTGTGTGTGTCACCAAGTGCAGGTGTTCGTCCCCGAATGTATTTCCCCTTGTGTACTTGCTATTGCTATTGGGTAAATTCATTAGTCAGATGTTGCATAATGACAGGAATCAGTTCCAAGAAATGTGCCACTGGGTGATTGTGCCAACATTACAGCGTGTACTTAGACAAGCTAACTGAACAGGAGCACTGTCCTATGTGGTCCTTCATTGACCCAATGTCTTTATGCAGCACATGACTATCGTGCAAGCTGAGGACATATGCATATAGAATTATTTATCTAAAATTCAAGTCAAATGTTTCAGAATACTTGATAAATTGAGCTGCTTTGGCATTAAGAATAGACGTAGAGCTGGGACATAGCTCATCATAGAGTGTGTGCCTCATATGCACAAGACCATGGGTTTGATCCCCAGCATTGCAAAAAACAAAAATGGTAAAAAAAAAGTAGACTTATCCTCAAAGAGGAAGCCTTGGCTCTATACAAAGACAGTTTGATGATTCAATCCCCAGCACAACAACAACAAAAAAGTTTGATTGATGTGATGTATATGTTTTAAGTTATTTTAACTTCAGATTTACTTTTATATACATCATTTTATAAAAGTAATTCCCTCACTATGGTTAACTTTGTCAATGAACTACCTGTCACAACTATATTGGGTAAGGGGCTTCTGTTAGCTTACCCACACTTGATAGAGGAGGAGGCCTCAAAACCAAAGCAGTGAGAGATTTGTCTCAGGTTACAGTGGGTTTGTGCAAAAGCCCAGACTAGATCCCAGGATTCTGATGTTAAATCACAAAGTGTAGTAATTGTGAGTTGAGCAGGACCTTAGAAATCATCTACGCTGATGGTTTCCAAGCTGGGTTGCTGGGAGCCTCAGGTTCACAGCAAGTACCCTAGGGGCTGCTGGGAAGGCGGTGCTCTGTGCCTTGTGACACTTAGCCAAAGCCACACTGTTCTTATGCTTGGGAGTTCTAAGGGTTTGGGTTTTGGGGTTTTTTAATAGTTCTTCTGGGGGGGGAAGCCTATAAGCTACTCACCTAGTCTAACCTCTGCATTTAATAGGGGGGAAACTGGCAGAGTCTGACTACAGCATAGATTCCCCTGCACCCCAGCCTGGTGTCCCATCACCCCATGCTCTGGTTTTGTCAGGCCCTCTGAGAGAAAAGGAGGCTCATGTGTACTCTGGGGATGGCAGGAAACATCAGCTTTCTGTGTACCAGAAGTCCCTCTGTAGGGTCATAGTCCTAGCCAGGGCTATTTTCCTGCTCCTCTCCCTATACCATTTCTGGTCTGGGCCAGGCAAGGTGGAAAGGCAGAAGAGACATATCCCAGGAGCACCAAGGGGACATCTGTGTGATGAACAGAGGCCCAAACACCCACCCTGATTTTGTCATTCTCTGTCTTGTCCTCCAAATCCTCATCAAACTCCTTCTGAGGGTAGAATTCAATGCCGTTTACTTCAAGCTCCTTCCGAACCTAGAGGCAGGAAGGAAAAGCAAGGTAGTCAAGTTGTATAATGGAAGAGAGGTGGAGGGAGGGGCTGGGGTGATCTAAAGTTAGAGAGATGAATCCATAGTCATCTTGGAACTCTGGCCCTGGGCAGCAGGAAGAAGCTGAATAAACACAAGCCCATTGCACAATTTCTACAGCCTGGCCTGCAAGGAGAGAGTCTCCAGGTGCAGGCTCAGGTCTCTAAGTTTGGACAAGCAGCACGGCTGTGCCTAGATGCCACAGGCAGTACCCAGGTACTGCCAGAGAGGAAAGCCTAAGCCCCTCTGTTTGCCGATCACTGTCAAGGTCACTTAAGTCTCATCAGCTCCTTCAGGGTACCATCCAGGACCTCTTCAATGTCTTATTTGATTGTGAGTTTCTTTTCTTTTCTTTTTGAGACAGGGTCTCTCTTGGTATGTAGCTCAGGCTGACACTGAACTCCCAATTCTCCTGCCTAGGCCTCCCAAGTGCTGGGATTATAGGCATGTACCACTACACTGGCTCTGAATGTGTGAGTTTCTTAAAAGCAGCAACTATCTTTATATTTCTCTCCTATCCCCCCTCCCCAACTGCCTCAGGGCATCCAACACTAGGCTGAGGTTATAATCAATACTTATGAAGATACCAATGAGGACTAGCAGGTGGTTGGCTGACCAATTAGTCTAGTCCTTCAAGTATCCTAATGTTTGAGAAGTGAGATCTCAAGTTCATGGTGATTCATGTATCCAGGGGTCTTTGTAAACATGTACAAAAGTTGGGAAGAAAGCATTCTGGAGCTGTACCAGCCTCTCTTACCTTTGATCCCCAGGTACTGCCAGCCCCAGCCTCCTATATGGTTAAGTGGTAGCTGGGGTAGAGAGTGGATGTTGGGATATAGAAGGTGGAGGTAAAGCAACAATATGACAGCTAAGAGATAGCTTAAACTGAGAGGAGGGGAAAGAAGCATCTGAGTCAGATAAAGGAGAAAGGAGGCCTTCTCACCCTCTGCTTGAATTCAGACTTCTCCTCCAGGGTCATGGTGTCAGCCTTGGCAATGACAGGGATGATGTTCACCACTTTGCTGAGGTGTTTCATGAACTCGAGATCGAGAGGTCGCAAGCTGGGGCCCAGAGAAGGCGGGAATGTCAGAGCCACCTGACCTCCTCCCTTAGCCACTGCCACCTCTCCAGGGCTCACTTGGGAGAAAATCTGGCTGAGGCCAGGAGGCTGATGCCTCTCCCCTGTTAAACACCCACCACCTCACCATCTGCAGAATATTCCCAACTCTTTCACTATGCTGTCCTGACCTCCCCTTTTCTTCCTCAGTTTCCACGTTAATTCTGCCCCTCCTGAAGCCCCCTCAAACCACTCCTTCCTAACACCTTTTCTGACACTGGAATTTCTTTCTCCTGGAAACATCTATGGATGGTCGTCCCCACTTGCGTATCCTTGTGATGGTTACTTGTGTGCCTCATTCTGTATTTGAATGGCCTCCTCCCAGCTCCCATAGTTATCCCTATAGGGCCCAGCTGGAAGCTTTTCCCATCTTCCAATCCCCTACTTTGAGTTCAAGGGCCCCATCTGACTATAGTTTGATGGGGGTTCATGAAGTCAGATTGTCAGGTGATTCCCTCCTACTATAGGTCAAGTTCTTGGGCTGGATTAAACCAATGTTTTATTGAGGACTGGGCCTGGCCCAGGGTTCTTGTTTTGTATCCCTCCTCCTCCATCACTGAACACTTGTTGAGTACCTAGTTCTTCCAAAATTCAGGGCCTACTTTGTTGTGCCATCCTTTCAAAAACTGAGCTTTTACCTGGCATATGGGCTTTTAGTAATAAGTTGTGATGCACATACTCCCCCACAGGAAGGTCACTTGAGATAGCAATGGGATTGCTGATCTCTGCATGTTCTTACACTGCCATAATGGGGATCCCCCTGATATTTACAATCTGAGTTTCCCAGCACACTCTGCTGTAGTCTGCCTTCATCTCTAGACACCTGGCTCCTCCTGCTGAGCTGGCCACTTTCCAGATGCCTATGGCTGGGTTCCATATCCCACCAAAATACCAACCCCAATCCAGTAGCTTGCCCCTCCCTATTTTACCCTTCTTGCTGCTTCCACCCCAAGCCTTGTCCAAAGCTAGTATCTACTGAACAAATGGGATATCCTCTGCTCACATATACCAAGTTCTCCCTGCTGGTTCATATAGGGGCTGATGCCAGTCAGTTTTACTCTCCTGGCAAGAAAGTCAGAAAGCGGAAATTGGGAAATCACGAGGTCATTGGCCATGACTAACTTCTGCCCCATCTAGCCCTCCCTAGCTGAGTCGAGGTATTGATTATCCAATCCAGAACATAGATGATGCAAACCACAGCCAGGCCCAACAGTAGAAATGGGACTGGTACATACGAGTGTCCTGTGGGGGAGATGAAGTAGAGGCAGCAGTGGACTCGAGTGTCAGGGATACGTTTCTTCCTGGCGATATTCACCTCCTCCTTCAGGAACTTCTCATACTGCTCATTGATGTACTTCTCAATAGGTTCCCAGCTGAGAGATGGAGAAAAGTAGATGAAATGCATCAAGACAGGATCCAAGGACTGTGCCTCTTGGGCACAGTCAGGGTCATGTCTCATATCACGCACACCCATCTCATGTCCTAGTTCCCCTCCCCTGGTGGGTTTAGGATACCTGCTAACCAAGTCTCCTTGCCCCCCACAGATGACTTTCCCTGATGGCTAGCAAAGACAGAAATGCCCAGGAGACCCGGTCTCTGGCTGGGCTCCAGGGACCTGCAGAGCTTGAAGGAAGCAAGTGATTCTAAGCACGAATGAGTGCGCACCATGGCAGAGCGTCTAGAGCAGACTCATACCAGTTCTCATTGTTGATCTGGTCTCCAAAGCCCGGGGTGTCAATGACAGTCAGCTTCATTTTGACACCACCTTCCTCTATCACTGGGGGACAAACAAAAAAGGTATCAGAGAGATCAGTCCTATGGCTGACCCCAGGTACCCTGCAGCATACTAGGCAGGGACACCCAGGCCTCTTCTTCATGGCCAATTATTGGAGAAGACAAGTTTATGATCCTCCCCACCTCAACATCTTTGTTCATTCTGTTCCCTGAATTACCCACCCTACTTCTTTCTACTTCTACTTCTGTCTAAATCCTACCTGGATTTTATCACCCAGCTCAAGACCCACTTCCCTCCATTTTAGCCCCTTTCTTTTGCATTTTGCTTCGAGTGTAGTGCTTAATTCCATTCTGTCTTGAGGCTGCCTTTCACATGTCTTATCCCCAAATAAAGCCCGTTCCTTCCCCTTGCTTGCACAGGCCTCCTCTGAACAAGGCCCACAGGGGTCTTTGCCTGGTTCTTACCGTGCCCAATAGCTTTGATCTCCACCGTCTTAGGGATCTTCTCCTCCCGGTTCCAGCTGGAGGCCTTGCGGCTCACTTGGGACTTGAAGAGTGTATTGACCAGCGTTGACTTGCCCAGTCCACTCTGGCCTGCAGCAAGGCAGGAGGAGGAGAAGAAGGTGGGGAGACCCCATGGCTACCTCCTGAGCTTCATAGCTCTCCCGTGAGCTTACAGGATTCCAGAGCTGTGATCCAGGCCAACCCTTGTTTGACCATTCCCCAGGGGATGAGCAGCAGATGGGAATGGCTTCCTGATTACTGGAGAGGGCCTTGCGATTCCACATTACCTCCCTTCCTGGAGCACCAGGACCACTGGGAGAGGGGACAACTTCTGCATTTGTCTAAGGTAGAAGTTTTTGCTTTGTTTTGATTTGGGTTTTTGCTTGACTTGTTTCCAGTCTCTACTAATACTAAAAGTAAGAACAGAATCAATTTGTATCCTGATACCGCTTCACAGTGCCTGAGAACTTTTGCATCTGTTAGCAAAATCGGTAGATCACCCCATGAGTTCACAGCAGAGCTATGTTTATTACTAACTGAGATGGTCCTAGAGAGATGAATCCTCTTCTAACATAAGATGTGTGTGAGGTAATATTACTAGTATATGTAAGAGCCGAGACTTGAACCCTAAGAACCACTTTTTATTCTAGTGCATTGTGCTCCCAGAAGACCTATGCCCTGTTAGAAGCACACAGCAGAGAGGGTCACTGTGAGAGAAGGGCAACTGGGCAGACAGGAGCACAGTGCCCATCTCCACTTCCTTCACTATGGCTCCCTTTGTACCCATGGTACCTTTGCAGTTCTGGCATAGAGCACGTTTCAAGGAGGAGTTCCACAGCTAAAATGCACTTGAGAACCTTGGGTCGCAACGGTGCTTCTCGAACTTTTAACATGCACTAGAATCACACAAGAAGGCCTTGCAACTGACGAGCAGCACCAGCAGCACCAGCATTGCCCAGATGCTTGCGGGAAATGCCCCACTCAGGACTTATGATTCAGAATCTGCAGTTTTACTGGGCTTCCAGAGAATCTGACGAACAATAAAATCCAAGAAGTGCTGGTCTAGAGCATCTGTGTGGCTTATTAGAAAAAATACCAGGTGGAGAGTCAAGAGCCTAGAGTTTTAGAACTAACTGTGGTGTTTTCCTTCACTGCCTTTGACTAGCTGTGTTTGCCCCAGGAACCATAATTTCTGTACTGAAAGGAAAATGAGGAAGGGACTTGGCAGAGACTGGGATGATGAACGAGGTGTTCTTCTCATTGCAGCTGATCAGCTGGTGAAGCCACCCAGACCATTGCAATTAAATAACTACATCTGGGCTCATTACTGACCATGTACCGTGAGTGTGACCAGCAATGTCTGTGATGGGCACTCCTGGAGGAGTGGTCCAAATGCCTTATACATGTTGAGCATGTCTAATCTGAAACTCAGAAATTTGAAATGCTCCTGAATTTGAAACTTTTTGAGTGCTGACATGCTCAAAAAGTTTTGTACTTTGGAGCATTTCCGATTTCAGATTAGCAATGGTCAACCCCACAAAGGCTATAGAAATATTCCAAAATACAAGAAAAAGAAATCCGAAATCAGAACACTTCTGGTCCCAAGCATTTCAGAAAAAGGATACTCAACCTGTATTTGCCATCAACCTGGCACTCTTGGTCTGGGATGTTTTCTAAGGTCATTTGTCCCGAGTGCCAAATGCTGTCCTAGAATTGGAGGTACAGACGTCATTCTTACCCTCAAGGAGCCATTCAGTGTAAAGGAGACCAAAATATAAGCAGACAGTTACAATACGTTGTAATAAGCACCATGAAATTATAATATCACAGAGTAGTATAACGACATTGCAAGGGGAATCCAATGCAGTCACTCTGGTATCAAAGACTTCTAGGAAGAAGCAGTAGTGAGGCTGAAACCTAAATGATGACTAAATGAGCTGGGCAGAGGGGAGGACGGACACATGCCTGTGATTCCAGCACTTTGGAGCTTGAGGCAGGAGAATTTCAAGTCCAATGCCAGCCTGGGCTACATAGTGAGACCTAGTCTCAAAAACAGAAAGCAGGCTGGGTGTGGTGGTTCATGCCTGTAATCCCAGCTGCGTGAGAGATAGAGATAGAGGAGGATCAGGATCATGAGTTCAAGGCCAGCTTAGACAAAGTTAAGGAGCCCCTATCTCAAAAAGGCCTGGGGGTGTGGCTCAAGTGGTAGAGCACTTGCTTAGCATGCACAAGGCCCTGGGCTCAATCTGCAGTTCCACCCAAAAAAAAAAATAAATAAATAGCAAGAAGGGAGTGGTGACAAAGGAAACAGGATATGCAAAGGCTCCAAGGTAGAAAGGAGCATGGCAAGTGAGAAATAGTCTGTGTAAGGAGTAGAATACTAGGATAGGAGTCTAAACTTATTGTTAGGTTAAGGAGAGTTACTGAAGGCTTTAAGCAGGATGGATAAAAGATTATTGGGTAAATAATGGATTGGAAGAGAAAGAAGAGAGAGAATTAGGAGGGTGACAGTGCCACTCCAAGTGTGGCCCATGACCCAGCTGCCAGGGTCTGTGAACTATTTCTTACTGGTTCTTGAGATAAGAATTTTATTCCAGAAGGTAAATCAACTATGTCACTGAGCACACTGTTTAGCTCAGCTGGTGTTTTTTATTGCAAGACATTCTAGATATTTATACTCCGGCCCAAGCTTCTTCTCTTGCTCTAGGTCAGCACTTTGGGCAGCACTGAGTCAGGTGGCAGTAGCAATCCAGGTGAGAGATCTGGTTCAGCCTAGGTTGGGGGGGCAATAGGGCTTAAACAATCTTTACGATGTAAAAGGGACAGGACTTAATTGATTACGATGGGAGAGCAGGAAAGAAGGATGTACCCAGATCCCTGTTTGTGCACTGAATGAATATCTTCCTGAGATCAGGCAAAGATCCCTTCCTGCTGTTACATTCTGTGACTCAACAATGCTACTCAGTGACCAAATCCCTGGAAATTTTCTTGAAGCTTGAAAGCACTACAAAAGATCAGAAATAAGACTGGAGGTGTGGCTCAAGTGGTAAAGTGTTTGCCTAATAAGTGTGAGGCCCTGAGTTCAATCCTCAGTACAGCAATAAAAAAAAAAATCCTAAGTAAGACCACCTTTCATCCAACCCTCCCACCAGCTCTTGGAAGAACTGATGGATTCTCTCATAGCCATGAACCTGAAAGCAGGTTCAGAACGATGAAGAGGCTGCCTGTCTCCCCAGCTGGAGGTACAGCCAGGCTGGCCATCTACCCAAAACTCCCTCCCTCCCCTGGCTCAGCAAGCCAGAGGGGAGAAGGGATCAGGCCCTTGAGATCAGCCTGGTAAAATGCTCCCTCCTGGAAAGACCTCATCCTAGAAAAGCCAGGGCTGAGGCTATTCTGGGGAAAGAAATGGGATCCTCAGTGCTGCCCACTGCTAGGCCTTCCAGTGACCCCATGGCCTTCCATACCAACGACCATAATGTTGAAGTCAAAACCAGTCTTCATGGTCTTCTTGCGCATCTGCTCGATGATGGTGTCGATACCAATGTAGCCCAGCAGGTTGGAGTTGATGCTGACAGGCTTCATGGGCACTGCCGGCTTAGGCCTGGGCTCAGGCACCAGCTCTGACATGGCTGCGTCCGTCCTGGTCTCTGGGAACCCTGCAAAGCCAGGATGTGGGGGTTAGGCAGGGGATGGGGCAGAGCAGAGATCACATGGAAAGCAGAGTATTTTTCTCTTGAAAAATACTGAATGATACTGATCTGGGATTGGGAGGGACCTTAATGTCATCCTAGATCCCTGCATAGATGAAAAGACTGAGGTCCCCAGGGGAAAGGACTTGCCTAAGAACACAGAGCAGGTCAGATGTGAAATCAGCACCAGTACCAGGTTCTCTGGCTGCTGGCCAATTTCAAATGTACTTCACTGCTTCAAAGCACCACAAATGTGTGCCTAATCCAGGCGTTCCTTCATTTTAGCACTACTGGTGCTTGAATAATCTTTTATTGTGAGGGGCTGTCCTGTGCCTTCAGTGTGTTTACTAGCATACCTGGTCTCTACTAGATGCATGTAGCCCCCTACATGTCACAACCAAAAATGTCTCGAGACAGTGGGGAACCACTGCTCTAAGAAATGTCTGGGGTTATTCAGACCTGAGTCCTGCCTTGCCAAATAAAGGACAAAGCTCTCCTCTTTAGGATCCTAGACCTAACATCTACTGACTGCCACTGACCTCAGTTGCTTCTTTTAGAAGCAAACAGGGCTAACTTCTCTGCAGAGTAAGCATCATTCCTGCCTCCCAGCCTGTGTCCGCTCTGTTCCATGAGCTACAAAATAGAGGTGGCTGTATCCAGAGGACTCCCAGGTACCCTCCTAGCCATAGGTTTGAGTCTGTGGGACAAGTGGGTTGGGGATAAGATCCAGATGAGACGGGTCACTTGCCTAAAATGACACTATGTTCTTGGAACAGCAGGCAGAAGAAAGGGGAGCTGAAGAAATAGTCCTTCCCAGGGAAGGATGACAAAACTCTCTCCAGTTCTGCAGATCATGGGTATGTTCACACCCAGGAGAAGTCTGAAGGTGTCCTCATCAGGCCACTGTCCACCAGGGTAGGTTTGAGAATAGAGAAACTCCATTTCCCCATCCATAAAATAGGTATGTGGGATGTTATGGTTTGAATATAAAATGTCTGTCACAGGCTCATGTTTTGAAAGGTTGGTCCCCAGCTGGTGGTGTTGGTTCTGGGAATTTTAGAAGGCAGAACCCAGCTGGAAGAAGTATGTCACTGGGGTGGGTCCTTGGGGGTATATCCCTGGCCAATTCCTGGTCCACTCTTCCGCTTCCTGTCCACCAATAATGCTAGCTCCTCTGCCACACGTTCCTGCTGCCATGTTGTGCTGCATGGGACCATGAACTGAACCCTCTGAAACTGTGAGAAAAAATAAATCCTTCCTCCCTTAAGTTGTTTATGTCACACATTTGGTCAGAGAGATGATAAAACTGACTAATACAGAAAATTGATGCCAGAGAAGTGGGGTCATTGCTGTGACTAAACCTGAGCATGTGGCATGTGTTTCTTAAGCTTTGGAACTGGTTTGTGGGAGGAATTTGGAAAATTTGGAGAAGGAGGCTAGAGAAGCAGAGCTTAGATGATTCTGGCAGGAGCTCAGAAGACCAGAATGTTGATAGAATTACAGAAAGTAAAGACTGAACTCATGAGGTTTTAGATGGGAACAAGGTTTTCTTGGGAATTGGACTAGAAGCCATTGGTGTTACATTCAGGTAAAGAATTTGGGGACCGGAGGTGTAGCTCAAGTGGTAGAGCACCTGCTTTGTAAGCATGAAGCCCTGAGTCCAAACCCCAGTACTGCAAAAAAAAAAAAAAAAAACTGTCTACATTTTGTCTGGTCCTGAAACTCTGTGAGAGGTTGAGTTTAAAGGTGATGGATCACTTAGTTTGATGGAGGAAACTTTAAGACAGCATAGCATTCAGGCTGCGACGTGGTGATGACTGGCTGCAAAAAACATATTACTGGAGTAAAAAGCAAAAACAAAGGGACTTGAAAAATGTGCAGTCTGGCTGGAAAAGGAGAAAGCTAAAAGTTGTAGACTGAGGAGGGTGTGGCCGTTAAAGAGACTAGAGCCATTAAAAAGAAGCCAAACACTTTGCATTGGGATGACAGGAAAGATGCCTTGAGAGCATCTCAGAAATTGGCCAGATGCCACCCATCCCAGACTCTAGGGAGCAAAATTGTAAACTCACTTGGAAGACTTTCCCTTGGGAAGAGAGATGCACCATGGCACTTGCACTCACACAAGACTGCGTAAGGAAGTGTTTTCCCAGGTTCACCTGTCCAGGTACTCAGAGGTCACTGCATCTGTGGGCCAAGAGGGCCCAGCTACTGCTTGAGCTGATGGTAAACCTTGGTGTCATTCACATGATGCTGGGTTTTGTGAACATGCAGAATACAGAGTTACAGAGTTACAGAATCATGGAGGCTTCAACCCAGATTTCAAAAGAAGGCCTAGGAGGCTGGGCAATGTGTAGCAGAGTTAGATTCCCTGCAAGGAACCCCTGAGAGGGCAATGTATGAAGCTGTGAGGATGAAGCCTAAGATACAATGGAGACCCTGGGATACTGGGGATACCAGGAACATGGAACGTGCCCAGGAAGGCTGAAGACAAGTAGATTCAGTCCGAGAGAGAGGCCATGTGGGTTGCAGCAGCAAGGCCACAGGGGCAGGGCTGCCCAAGTCCATTGGAGCTTACATCATGACAGCCTATGCCCCAGATGCTAGACATGGAGCTACAGGATTTAGTGATTGCTCTGCTGGGTTTCAGTGTTGCTTTGGTCTAACTCTTCCTTATGCTTCCCACCCCTCCCTTTTGGAGTGGGAATGTTTACTCTGTACCATTGTATGTCATTGGAAGTATATAATTTGTTGATTTTTACAGGTACTCACAGCTGAGTTCGTCTTGAGTCTCAGAGGAAACTTAGGAATTTTGAACTGTTAAGATTCTGGGGACTTTTGGAGACAGACTAAATGCATTTCAAATTTTGAGATGGCCGTGAGCCTTAAGGGCCAGGGATGGAAAATTATGAAGAGTCCCTCACAGGCTCATGTTTTGAAAGGTTGGTCCCCAGCTGGTGGTGCTCTTTGGGGAAGTTCTGGAAATTTAGGAGGTGAGACCTAGTTGGAGAAAGTAAGTCATGGGGGAGGGGGGGTGTTAGGTCTTTAGGGGTATATCATCCCTGGCCAATTCCTGTTGCACTCTCTCTTATCCATATCTACCAATAAGTGAACAATCACTCTCCTCCACCACAGACTCCTGCTGCCATTGTGCTCTGCCTGAGTGCATGGGACCACCATGGACTGAACTCTATGACACCATGAGCCAAAATAAATTCTTAACTTGGTTATGTAAGGTATTTTGGTCACAGCAATGAAAATCTTACTAAAACCCAGCATGAAGTAGAAAGCGCCTGGCTCTGCTACTTGTGGACTTGGGAAGACCATCCTCCCTCTGTGAACTTCTGCCTCTGGTGTGGTAAGCATCACGTGAGAAATAATGCTTAGAAGCCCTAAGTACAGCACCGTGTAGTCCCATGCCCTTTAAGCCCCTGTCCCTTTCAAGTTCATGGCTTGTCTGGAGGGGAAATAAAGCAGTGCATGTGAAAGCACTTTTGAAAGGTAGGTGCCCCCACTTGCTAATTTCACAAGCACATTATTGGACTCCATGCTCTCTTAAGGACACCTTCTAGTTTTGCCATTCTAGAATCCCATAGTTCATGATTACCATCCTGCAGATTCTCAGCCTTATGGGGAGGCCTGATGGAGCAGCAGATGGGCAGGAGGAAGAGGGGACAGGAGTGTTTCCCTTCCCACCCCCAAGCCCACCAGCTGGTCATTCCACTGCTACTGGCAAGACCCTCTCTCCTGATGGGAAACTGTTCTTTCCTGTCACTCACAGGCACTGCCAAATCTGGCCAAGACTTGGGACTTCCTCCAGAGCCTGGGCATGGCTCTCTGTTACTTCCCAGGAAGCTGCTGCCAGCCAGGCAGCTCCAGAGGGCAGCAAGATTGTCTCAGCCCTGCAGCAGCTGACTCTCAGCAGCCTGGCCCTGCTCTCTACTTGTGCATGGGACTCATAGCCCCCCTTCAGAACACCTGCACTAGAGCCAGTGCCCCATTTCTCTTGCCCACTGCTCACACAGGCTGGTCCTTTCCAGTTCCCTCATGCTTCAAGAGCTGAGCCCATTTGGTCTTCACAACCTGTGTTGGGAGAACATCTACCTGAGGATGGGGGTGGTCTTTACAGACCTAGAAAGTGAGTCTTGTATTTGTGTATGGGGGGGTTATAAATAGTTTTATAAAGCATGTGTCTTCACCACAGCCTTCTCAGTCCTGGTCTGTCACCCATGACACCCAAAAGACAGACCTTAATTGTGAGCGGGTACTGGCCAGATTTCCAAACAACTTCTAGCTACATCAGGTCTGCTATAGGTCCAGGGCATGGGCAGGTCCCACTTTCATTCTTCCAGTGAGAAATATTTGCTCCTACTGTGTACATTGTATAGAGGACCTGCTGGCAAGCAAGCCTCTTTCTGACCACTTGCCAGTCACAGGCTAACAACTGCCACTGATCAGACACAGTACCACCACAAATGCTGCGGGTCACTGTGCCATAACCTTCGCAGGAAGAACCTGTGCCCCTCCAGCCCCTGGCCCAGCTCCTTTTTGCTTTCCCATCTGGTGCCCCTCTTACGTACTGCCTTGGTTCTCTGTGAGTTCATTCATTCCATCACATTCAGGTCAATTCATCTGCTGTCAACTGTAAACTTAATTCAGCGAAGCCCTACACTAAATGCCAAGGACACTTTTATACTCCAGATAAGATCATTGCCCCCAAGAGCCCACTGTCTAGTGAGGGTGCCTAACAAGACCTCAGGGCACAGAAAAAATGCTGCTCTGGAGTTGGATTCTATAGCTTCATCCTCTGCCCCTAAAGCTCCCATGGTCTCACCAGGCCAACTTCAGGATGAGCAGCCGAACCAGACTTGAATCCTGGCTGGGTAAGCAGTTTTCTTCTCAGAAAAGCAGGGACAGAACCTGCCTTTGTGGGTTACTGTGAAGGTTATACAAAATCACGAATGTAAATTACCCGGCACTGGTTGTATGCTGGTTTTCATCCTTCTTCAGGGCAGGAACTATACCTTATTGATCTCTGTGCCAGTGTATCTGGCACATTACAGGCACTAATTGATGAATGAATGGATGATGAATGAATGAAAGCCCCACAGCAAGGCAGGTATCTCTTCGTACACCTTTCTCCTCCCTCAGATGCTGCTTCCTGTGCAGAGCAGCTGACCCCCGCCCCCTCCTAGCCAGCAAATGGCTGTGTGTGGGGCCACAGTTAAGGAAGGTATATTTGTTAAAAGACCTCCTCCCCTTGGAGAGGGTATCCCCAACGGTGAAGAGGATCTCAGGATGGGGGTCATATCAAGTATGCCACCCTAGCTAGATGGCCCTTTGGGCTACTCCTAAGCTCCCAGCTTTCCCTGGGCCCATGAAGAGGAGGAAATCTGTCTGCAGTTCCCCCTGCCAGGAGCCACCTGCCCCATCAGTGCTCCAAGAAGAGGCATTGTCCACCTGACTCAGATCTGGTATCTCAGGAACCAGATTTCCCAGCAAGCAAGGTTGCTGGTGCTTTCTTATACAGGCAAATGAATGGCTTTGTCTTTGTCTGGCCCAGAGACCCCACCCTCTGTTGGGAAAGTGACAGTAGGAGGAGGGGACCTTTCTAGAATAGCACCTGCCTCCTTGACTTAGTGCTGGCCTCCCTCTTCCTTCTCTTCCAAGTTGTGGGTCTTCCCCAATCCCCAGGCCCCAGCAGGTTTCAAGACTCCACAAGCAGAGGCAATTCTAGTACACTCCAGATTCAGCCCTGGACACTCAGAAGAGGAATCACAACAGACATCTTAGTCCTTTCACATTTCACAAGAGCACAGGGCCCTGGGACACCCCCTTCCCCCATCACGGTCGTCAGGAGGCCAATGAGTTTCCCTGGAGACCACCAGCTGGTGCCTGTCTCAGCGTGTGCCTGTCTGTGTGGGGGGAAGGGATTGATGTGTCAGCACGAAGGTCTCTTACCAGCTGTAGGGTCCCTGGTACCTGTGCATGCGTGCTCTGGTCTTGGGGTGCCCATGTGAGCATGTGGGTCCCTGCTTGCGTGTCCATGGGTCTCCGTATCTCCCCACGTTCCCATGTGTTTCCAGCGACTACGTCTCCAGGTGTGTGCCACCGTGTGTACGTGTGTCCATGCATATGTCACCGCGCGTGGGCTCCTGGCAGAGCAACCCTCCCCCTGGTAACACCTCAGGCCGCGATTGGGAGTCCGCAACCTCCTCCCAGCGGGCGCCGATGGCCCAGCAGGCAGCCCTACCTTTGGACATGAATCCTCCTTTGTCTCGGTTCCTCGGGAGATGCTCAGGGCGCGGGGCTCGAAGGCTGAGCGGGGCGCGGGCTCCCCCTGGGCCGAGCGGCCCCTGTTGCAGCCCGGCCTCGCCCCTCGGCGCTCTCCGCTAACACGCCCGACCCGCGGCCCCGCAGCGCCGCCCCTGCGCCCCGCGCCCTCCCGGGACCTCGTCTCTGCTCGCTCCGCGCTGCGCTGCCGCTGCCCGCGCGCACCGATGCCGCCGCCGCCGCCGCCGCCGCCGCTGCCACCCGCACCACGTGACCCGCGTGCCCGCCAGCCCCGCCGAGGGCCCCGCCTCTTCCCGCGGCGCCCGGGCCCGCACGCAGGAGCGGGCACCCCGGCCCAGCAGCTGGCAGCCGGGGAGGCGCGCAGGATGCCGTGCCATGGGCTCTGGATGCCTGGCCGAGAAAGGCGCCTGCATCTCAGTCCCGGTCCCTCTCCCCTTGATCCTGTTCCCAGTGCCTTACCTTCTAGCCTGGGATGGGTCCGGAGGCGAAAGCGACTGCTGGCAGATGTGGGCAACCGTGCGTGCGCGTGAGTCACGCGGTGGTTGAGATATTGCGCTGGCTGAGGTATTGCGCTGGCTCACCGCTGTTCTGCCCAGGCCCGAGGGCCCATAGATCCCTGAGTTGGGGGCCAGTGTTGCAGGCCCAGCTCAGCTCTGGGATAATGAGCCCTATAACCTTGAGCTAATCAGAAGCTTCACTGAGCCTCAGTTTACCAGTCAGAAAAATCCTTCATGCATTTAGTCCACATTAATAGGCAGCATATTGCTAGACCTGAGGACACAAGACTGAGGATGACCATCTCCCCTCAAAGATTTCTGGTCTAGTGGAGGAAACAGCTGGATGGAGACTGCACAGAGTGCTGTGAATAAACACACCCTATCCCCCTGAGAGAGGGGTTGTGGAAGATTTGGAGGAGGTGAGGGACAAGATGGCAAAGCAAATAAAGGTGAGAGGGAAGAATGGAAGGGAATTCTGCAAAAGGGACAGCAGGGGCAGGAAGCCCAGAGGTGAGAGCTGCAAGGTGCTGGTAGACATCTCAGAGCTCTGGGTGGGGGACTGAAGCAGAGATTGCAGACATGAATGTCCTGCTAAGAGGCTGAACTACAACCTTGGAAGCCAAGTTAAGGAGTGGACTTAAGGGATGGTAATGATGAGGCACTAGTGAATGTTAAGCTTAAAGTTCTCCCATCATGAGTCCCTGTGGCAGCTGTGTGGAGGAGGGAGGTGGAGAAGAGGGTGGCCTTACAGGAACAGAGGTATGGAAAAGAGAGGACAGACAGCTGTATGCCAAGTCCTGAGAAGGTAAATCAGCAAGATTGGAAGTAGACTGGATTGGATGTAGGAGAGAAAAGATGGAGAAGAGGACAATACCCAGGTTTCTAATTGCATGATAAAAGGTGGGCGGTGTCTGCAGCTGAGAGTGAAATCAGGGAGGGCAGGAGTTGGTTCAAGAAGAAAAGAGCTGCCTCTGAACATATCCAGGAGAGTATGTCCAGGCAGAGGAGTCCAGCAGGCCGCTGGCTGTCCACATCTGCATTTCAAGAGAGAGGGCCAGGCTGAAGATGGAGGGAGAGCTGAGGTCAAGTAGGAAAGAATAAAGACCAGAGCCTGGGGACCTTCCCCAGTGTGCAGAGTGGAATGAGAAGGGGGCTGAAAAGCCAAAGACCCAGTTCAGGCACTGGACCGCGTACTTCCCAAGCCTCTTTCCAGAACTCTGACCCAGTATCTCTGAGCATTTAGAAATGTTGGGAGTGAGACTGGCCAAAGTAGAATTGCGAGATCTGAGTTCCAATAGGCTTACTGCCACAAGCTTGGGTATGACTTTAGGCATGCCACGGCCTCTCTGAGACATCCATGGAACTTCCAGCCCTTGTGCTGACCTGTTTATAGTTCTTTGTAGACTTGAACGTGCACAAGTCTCCAACTGACCTTTCAAGACTAAAGAATTGGGGGTGGGGAAGTCAAGAAAGAGACTTCCAAGTAAAGCACCTTTTAAGCAACAGAGATTTAAAAGATCTCAGGAAAGGTCATCTCCCATCCAGAGAAGCACTGCAGTGTTGACTACAGTTAGATAAATCACTACTTACCAAAGTGCTAGTTTATATTTTCATGCAGAAGGTTTGGTTTTAAAGGTGGACTCACCTGATTATTGATCTCCTGATCATTACAAAGAAACAGCCACAGGAGAGGCTCAAGCGAGAACTCAGCACAATCGCTTCTCCACAAATTATCCCCATAAACCTTCCTTCTCATGACCTCTGGCAGGCTGGGATCCAGGCTCAGGGTATACCCCCTACTTTCAGACCCTCAACCTTTGTTCCCTTTTCCTCAAACTCATTCAATTCTGACCCTAGAGTCCTCCCTACCTTCCCAATCTATCTAACCATGGTCTGTCTCCAGGCTCATATACTCCCACCTTCCCATCTAGTAACGCAGTACATCCCTGCCCAGCTTTTTGCACTTACCTTTTGATTCTCTGGCCAGGTCCTGTGTGGCAGGCTCTGTGACTTTTACTGTGGTAGCAGCCAATGTGGCATGGTCCTGGGTTGGGTCTGTGCCCCTTGACATTAGCGGGTAGGTAGCAACGTCTGATATTGTCATGTTATTGACACTGACCAGCTTCGTCTCAACAGTGGGTAGATCTGAAGTGACCAGCAGAACTGGATTCATGGCTATGCCCAGCCTGCTTGTGTCCAAAGCTGAAGAATCCATAGCTGCGCCCAGCTTGGCTGTATTATTTGCTCTAGCTGAAGCTATGGCTGTATCCAATCTGTTTGTGCCTAATTTAACTGAATCTGGTATTGCCAAAGCCATGGCAGTGTCCCCTGTGGTCATATCTAGCTTGGCTGAGCCTGCTATAACCGTGACTTTTCCCAGCTTGTCTGGGTCTGTGGTTACCAGATCCATGGCCATGCCTGACTTGGCTGGGCCTGCTATAGATAAGTCTGTGGCTGTGACCAGCCTGGCATCCACAGCAGGTAATTCTGTGCCGGTATCCAGTCTGGATGTTTTAGACAACCCAGGTCTGTTGGTGGCCATTGTGGCTAAACGTCTATCTATGTCTGGCTTTGTTGTGCCCGTAGCAGCCAAATTCACAACAGGGGTGACTCTTTGGGGTCTAGGGATACCCCTAGACCGTGCCTTACCCCTTCCAGGAGAAGCCCTGGTGTGCCCTTGACCCATGGGGTGTGGCCCTACAAGATTTGAATTCTGGGTTAGCCGGGATTGGAAAGGTAAGGCCAAGTGTGAACTCACCAAGGGCTTTTCCACTGTGGGTGTCCGGCTGGGTTTGATTAGACCTGGGTTCCCAGGGCCCTCAGAGTGGGCTTTGTCCTCTGGAACTAGGGTCATGGGTGGCGAGCCTGTAGAGGACAGCCTCCCTCCTCTGTGGGTGGCAGCCTCCCTTGCGAGGATGGGCAAGTGTTCCCAGTGAGAAAGTGAGGGGTCCAGGGTCTGGGCCTGAATGTTCTGGCGGATTGTTAAGGAGATAGAGCTGAGCTTCCTGGGCACAAGACTATTGGCAGGCAAGGTACTTAAGGCAGCCCCTGGGGCAATGGCAGAATCCTGTGGGGACATACTCCGGGCCTTGGCTTTAAGGCCTGGTCGACCAGAAGTCTGCTGGACATGACTTTGGGAGAAGGTATCCAGATGGACAGTCTTCTTGACGACAGGGATGAGGGGGGACACCCCTCCAGGAATCTTTGATGGGTGGCTATGACGCCCCAGCATGTGGCTGCAGGAGAAAGAGGCTCCAGGGCCTGGAACTCTATGTGGCTGCATCTCTGGAGGAGCAGGTGCAAAGCTGTGGTCCATTCAGGCCATTTGTTTTTCCCTGGGACAATCATAGAGAGAAGAGCCAGCAGGAATGAGGTGTTCAGGGTCGGAGGTCTCAGCCCTTCTCCTGACCAGCAGCTGGCCTTGCCAGTCTGAAGGAATTTGTCAAGTACTTACTAGAGCACACACACACAATCTTCACACAGTCCTGCAACTCCTACCTGCTACAGACCTGCATACACCTCACATACACGCCCAGCCAGCTGCTGCATAGAGGGAGACAGATGCAGCCAATAATCAGTTTGTTCCTGCATGAGTGAACCCAGCAGTAGGGTTTACCTCTCCTTTCGCGTGGGCCTGAGTGTGGCCCCTCTCCGTGGACAGTTCCGTGGAGGTTACATATATGTAACCCTGAAGAAAGGCAGAAGCTACTGGAGTCCTTCCTCTCTTGAGAGCTAAAGGGCTCTAGATTATCACCCAGAGGAGCTAAAACAAGAGTCCAGACATCCAAGAGATGCCCAGTTGCCCTGACAATAGGGTGGAGCCTGGGTCTGAGGCTCCTGCTCCACACCAGGTAAGAGCCTGGGGTGGCCTAGTAGAGAGGCAAAATCAGAGACATAGCTGGTAGGGCCCTGGAGTAGGTGAAACTTGGGAGATAAAGAACTAATGAGTGCACACAGCAGACTTGTTCTGTAAGAAAGCTACAGCCCCTGCCCTTGGGGAACCCAATGTCCCCAGAAGTGCCAGGCAGGGAAGTGGGCAGGGCTTTCTGAAGTAAATGTTAGGGGTAAGCAGGAGCCCAGTTTCTGCATCAATAGAAGAAGTCTGGATCTGGTGTTGGACAATTCCTAAGAACAGCCCAAAGGTGAGAAAGGTCCTTTTGCAAGGGGCAGTAGCTACCAAGGAGAGGGGGATGAGGCTGCAGGTGAGCAGGGTCCAGGCCAGGCCACAGGATAGCCTGGTCAGATCTGCAGGTGGTGGTGGTCACTCTGGAGCAGTGTGGGATCAGATGGTAACGGAACTGAGACCAGGAGACTCCTGGAAACAGAACTAAGAGGCTCTATGGGCTGTGGAGATGGCTGGGGGTGAGGCTGGAGAAGGTTACCTAGAGGTGGGGAATGGGAAGGGGAAGGGGTGTCCTGTATGATGCTCAGAATGCTGCCTGGTAGTCTGGGTAAATGGGCTCCAGGGCCCCACATGGATGGCTGGTGCCCCCTCTGGGCTCCATATAACTCATTTTCTGGAACCAAGTTTCTTCCTTTGCTTTTAACACAGCAGGCTGGGCATGCTGCTTGCTGGGCTAGGCCAGGGCTGGTGGGAGCTCTGAATGTAAGGGATTTGTAGGGAACAAGAGTGATTTTATAGCCAGCTTTCTAAGATCTGAGCAGGGACAAGAA